GGGAGTGCCACAAAGGTTAGGTCCCGGGTTCGAATCCCGATAACTGCGATGAGAGGTTACTATGCTAAAAAATGCATAGGGCCTCTGCAAGTACCGGGAATAGAGTCTCACTCTCTATCTGTCAAATTGAGATTATAGTCCACTTACATCCTCCCAACGTACCGTCCGATCGGTGTTGGTGAGCCCTCCAGGGATGAGATGTCATCCTTTTTTTTAAATCTAGATTATTTGAAGATTATTCTCAAACTTTTAGGTTCCTTCTCCAACTTCAATACATTCATTACACACATGGTTGGTTCACTTGGTTGTAGAAGGGTGACTCTTGGAATTCTTTTAAAAGTAGCTATCTTTCCTTACAAATCTTTTACTGAGTAAACCATTTGACCTGCTGATTCATTCCAAACTATAGTCGAGAATGGCCAATTTATTTTCAAACCAGGTGACACCGGCCACATGCATCGTATATCATGATATATGTAGTATGTGTATAGGTTATATTTAAATGAGTAAAGTTTTGATATATTAATTAATACTCCGTATTAAAAAAACGTGTGTATTAATAATAGTAAAGTTTGATATACGGAGTATATGAATTAATATTAAAAAAACGTGTGTACATGTGTGTATATTTTTCTATTTGTGTGGGCAGAGTGCATGTATATGTTTTACTCCCTCTGTCCCGCAATAAACTTCTCACTTTCCTTTTTTGGATGTCCCAGAAACAAGTTCTCATTTCCTTAAATAACAAGTTAATCTACAGCAAAACAGTGTTAAATAGTGTAAAACAGTGTCAAATAGTGTTGAAACAATGTCGAAACTGTGCCAAAACAATAAAATTTACTCCATGGTAAGTTTATTTCCTTAATATGTGTGTAGGTCAAACTGTGAAGTTCATTGTGGAATGAATCTGAGAGAGTAATGTTTATCAATATATGAATACCTATATCACTATACATATGTATACGTACATGTATATATGTATAAACGTATAGTGTTTGTGATTGTGCGTGAGTGGGGGCTTCTAATGTGTGAAGGCATTTGGTTGAGAAATTTTGAGTTTTTAATATGGTGACAAATCCGGTACCTTTCTAAAAAATGGGGTACCGTACCTACCATTAATTTGATTGGATCACACCACTTTATCATTTTTAATTTAGATTTAAATAATTCAACTGCTACATTCTCATTGGTCCACGTGGACAAAGGTATGGTACCTTATGGGTACCATAGAATCTACCTTTGAATATATGCCACATAAGTAATCGGGGAGAATTGAGATCATGGTTAAGAAGAGATTATGAGTTTTGAATTTATTGCAAGTGACAATGATGTGGTGATAGTAAACAGGTCCGGTCCTGACATTTTGAAGACCCGGGGCATGTCACAAAAATGGGCCATTGGAATTATAAAGAAAATATTTTTTATGTTTTATTATAAAAGTAAAGTTCAATACATAAATCAATTACTTCATACATTAAAAGTCACTGTTAAATATTTAAATACAAGTATTACGTAGTAAGAAAGTTAAGAAAGAGCAATATTGAATTTCTTTATTGACACATGCCGCATGCAATCAAAATTCCTCACAAAATTCAAAATTATTGACGGAATATAATATTAATTTGAGTTACCAAATTAATAATTCATCATTCACACATCACAATTGTCAATTCATTAACACTTCAAAAGGTTCTAGTTTAAATAGCTCAATACAACTTCTAAAAATCAACACATTTGCTAACCATACTCATAGCAGAAAATAAATCTAAACTCTAAAATAAATTATGAATCAAACTGAATAAGTAAATCACCTCCATATACACCGGTCTGCGATTCTTAAACCCTCCTTCACACACACAGATTACGGATGAAAAAGTTGATGAAGAGAAATGGATTAATCAAGTGAGTTGATAATGGAAAAAAATGAGAGGAGTCCGAAAAGAGAATTGAACCGTGGATTAAAGCTTGAAAAAAATACTCTAGAAGAGTAGGCAGAGCAGTGGCCAATGGTGTTCAAATTTTTCAAGTTATCGGGATGACAATTGATACTTCCCAATTAGAAGAGCTGAAGAGTCGAAGGAGATGGCAATGCTTCCGGCTTTCCGTTCGCCTTCTCATGTCGGTCAAAAGCCTAGCAATTAAGTGAATCCACTGATCGCTAAATTTTAGCGAAATTACGTAGTACAAGTAATATTTAACATATAAAATTTTATGGAGTATTAGATATTATAATAAAACATATAAAATTATGGGCCCTATACAAAGGATGGGCCCTATACAAAGGATGTGCTCCCTTGCCCTCCCTCGAGAACCGAGCCTGATAGTAAATTATAAAAAATCGTTTATTTGAGAATCAGGAATGTATATGCTCTTATGCGCATCACTTTTGAAATTCTTTTTATTGCGGTTATAATTGTAGAGCCCGTTTGGTAGTACCAAAATTAGCTGTATTGGTTGATTCTGCTGAAATTCATGAAGTTCTGGCTGAATTGGCTTGATTGGCTGATTCTACCAATTTATGAAAAAATAATATTTTAAATATATTTTATTAATAAAATAAAGAAAAAATTATATGAAAAATAGCTAAAATGATTTTCTACAATAACTTCAGGTCTTCAGTCAATACAGCTAGAAAAGTAATTTCAACCTTACTTTTTTTAATATTACATAATTCAGCGTGCGCAATCAAAAGTTACGTGTTCAATGAAAAAGTTGGTTGATAAGCCGAAAAACACGGTTAACAAACGTGCTCGTAAGAACAATGATTGAGAAGTGTAGAACCAAGGTGTCAAAATTAACAAAATTTAGAAAATAACGAAAAAACAAGCATTGTGGTACACGTTATGATCACTCATAATTACCCTATCTTAAATTATACGGAGTATTGTAGAGGTTGGGTAAAAGTGAAAGGCCGAGAACAATCCTGAAAATCCTACATTGGGCGTAGGCTGTAATTATTATTTGTCATCATTATGTACTTTTACTCTGTGCTGTTAATACATCGTAGCAAAGTAAATGACACTCATTCGTGAGGTTCTCCACAACTGATAGAGATAATTATCCAGAAATATGTAAATTGTAATTGTAGATGGAAAGAGAATAATGTTTTATTCCAAGTCAATGCTTTTATTAAAACATTTAAAATGATATAGGATGTTTGTAATTGGAGAATGTTTGTTATTGGCGTGAAATTTGGGATGTTTTAATCAATTAAAAAAATTTGGTCTAATTTATGTAAGTATGATATGATTTAATTTGATATTTGTTTGATGTATGTATATTTTACGATTGACAAAGTCTGATCTGATCTGTTTAAGTCTTATCCGATCTGATTTAGTTTATTTAAATATGTTCTAATTTAATTCGATATCAGACCGAAATAAATCCAAGTAAAAACTTCATATTCGTCCCAATGCCAAAATAAATAAATAATTGAGCCCAAATTGAGACCACCCGGCCGGTCCGATCCACCTTTTTTGAAGCCCGTCGCTTGCCTTTTTAACCCCTCGGTTCGGGCCTCAGTCCCGGTCCCAGTTCACCGGACCAAGTCGAGCCTGCACAGTACCGGACCAGGCCGGATCCCAGGTCAGGCCGACCTGTCCCAATCCATCCCTAATCTCAGATACATATATTTGTTTGGAGGGTGAGGAGTATCTTTTTTAGGCTAATTTAGAATTACTCATTATTAGTATTAGTGAATCACATCTACAAAGTGGGGCTTTAGAAAATTAGAAGGTTTTTTACTTGGATTAAAATTTTCTAAAATTTTACTTGGACTAAAATCACATCTACAAAGTCACTATTTAAATTACAATTGTTGTAGTCTAGTCTGATTTGAAAATGAAATAGGTCTAAATAAAACATCCTTAGAAGCCATCAATAATGGAGGAATGGAGGATGAAGGAAAAAGAAAGATGGTGCCGATGATAATTTATCCTTACACGACTTGAAATATTTATACTAATGTTTCAAGATTTGAGAATGACTTTTTACCACGAATGCGCACAAACAGCGTTTTTGAAATATGAAGGATTGTCCAAATTCAAGTAGGATACTCGTCCGTCTAATTTATCCCTAGATTTAACTTGAATGTCCATATTTGCACAAAATGTTACACTTCAACTATTGGGGTGGTGGATTTGGCTATAATGATACTATCCCAACACAACTAAAACTATGATAAGTCCAACCTTTATTCTGAAATCTGAATACACAAAACCAATGTATATAACAAAATAAGCTATAAGGAAATGGAAATAAACGATAACACAAATTGCTCCAAAGGCATTTGGTTTAGCGAATGCCATAATATTATGGGTGGACTCAGGCCGGGTGACCTGACCCGGAACCGACCCGGGACCGACACTGTTCCGGCCCAACCTGAGGGGTTTCACCCAAAACAAGGCCGGGCCCGGCCGGGCCCGAGCCCAGTTCGGGCCAAATTGATTTTTTTTTGTTTTTTTTTTCATTTGTTTGGGCTCCACCCGGGACGGGCTTGATGTTTAGGAGGGGTGAGGGGGGTTTGGGGGGGGGGGGGGGGGGGTCAAGGATAGGTAGGTAAGCAAAAAAAAAAATAACCAAGCCAGACCCGGTGGCTACCCGAGACGGTCCCGGGTCCACCTATTCGGACCCGCCAACCCACCCGGGCCTAGGCTCGAACCGGACCGAATCCACCGCTACATAATATATTAGATAAAATATTACCTAAAAATAATTTGAAAGTATTACAAAGTAAGATTACTCACTTTTTTGGAACAAAGTGACTTGTATTGAAATATCAAAATTCAGACAAACAACATTTCATTTTCATCATTTTCATTTTCATTTACCCCAGTGTCGCAAAGGCTCCCCACCTACGGTGGGGTAAGGGGGTATCGGATGTATGCAGTCTTACCCCTGTACTAAAGTACAAAGATACTGTTTTCGGATCACCCAAAGTGAAAACCCCGTCCAAAATTGCATGGATTGACTGGTGCTTCATAACAAAGAAGCGCAGACAGTTTAGTGAACCATTTTGCTTTATTCCTTCATAATCTCAAGACGGATGGAAAATTCAGACAAACAACAATAAGACAAAAAGTTCACTCCCAACAATCAGCTCTCGAAACAGACTCAGAGTCGATCAACTTCTTAAAACCAATATGATGATCCTACAATAAGCATAACTGAGTCAAAGGCGATGAAAACAAACTTTCCATCACTAAACCTAAACCCAATAGTCTAACTAGAAAAAAAAACAAAAACATAACCAAAATAACATCCCGATCAAAAAAACAAGAAAAACATAGCAAGTAGAGAAAGACCGCTTCCCCAATATCACGAGCCTGGTAGCCAGCATCCACCCCTACCCCATTTTTTGGCTCATCTAGACCCATTTGTCACTGTTCTGCGTCGCTTTCTGCTGCTCTTCCTCCCACGTCTTTTTTCTCTTCTGGTTCAATTCTGTGCTAGATGTTCCAACTTCTCTGGCCTTTCCCTCCTCATTTTCCGACACTGTGACTAGTCAACCCTGATTCCCTTTCACCTTTTGCCTAGTCAGTCAATCCGCTCTGTTCTGCTTGTGCCCTGCTTGTTTGTAGCCCATTCCAGTCGATGAAGATCCCTCCTGAACAAGCCATTTATTAAAATTGTGGATCAAAATTTCCTTCCTCCTTATCTAAGCCATGATCCAAAAGATTTCTTCAGAGACTTATGCCTTTCCTCATACACCAAAAGACTGCATGACCAATGACTCCAAACACAAAGCAGAAATTAGGCAATTTTTCATATTTAAAGTCCATCCAATAGCCATTCCCCTTTGTTTTTCCTACATCCAAATACACTCTTATACGCATATATGCTTCGCACTTTAATAAAGCATCCCACAAAGTTACCAATCACTTTTGCTACCTCTAAAGTCATATAGTCATACGGCACATTATGTGCCTGAACAAAAAATTCAGCTGTATTTAAAGGGACCTTCATAGGAATATCCCATGGTTTTATTGCTTTTAATACCAATGAATTTTGTTCAAACAGCCACGAGCCATACTCCTGATCACGATTCATATCAACTACTCCCTCTGTCCCGAAATTAACTTTCCACTTTCCTTTTCGGGTAATCCTGAATTTAACTTCCCACTTCTTCCCACTCCCTTAATTGGCAAATTATCCACATCAAAACAGTGTCGAAACAGTGTCGAAATATTAAAATTTACCCTCCATTAAATTTATTTTCTTAACATATATGAAATCGAAGCGAGAAGTTAATTACGGGACGGAGGGAGTATATGATAAAAAATGAAAGGATACCTCTTATTTCCAATTTCCTTGATTGGGACTCATTTACCGAGACACCATATTGAAGCCATTAGATTTTTGAGAATCTGGAACTTCAACATCTTGTCGGTGATAATCATGCCCATTACCAGAAAAACCACCATGTCGACATCCTCCTGTGTGCCATCTTCACCCTCGAAAACCAGTTCATTCACCTCTCCTCCTATATCTAACATATCATATTGGTTTACCATGTTTTCCATTTTGATAGACAAACGATTGATGTTCCTACCCTGCGTTGCACTTTCCCTTCAATCTACAAGAAACACAAACCGTACCAGCCGCCAGTGGCTTGCAGAAAACCTAAACCCTACTTGGAAATGGAGACCGCCCCAAATTAAGAATACTTACTTTGATATATGATATTCCCTCCATCTCAAAAAACCTATTACATTGGTTTGTCCCAAAGATGAGCCTAAGCTTGATCAAACAAAACTTTTTTTCTCCAAAAATTTGACAAAAACAAACTACATACGACATACTTCGTTAAACCAACAAATAAATCATAAAAACACACGGAGTATAAGCAATTCATGATTTATGATCAATGTATGCATGTACTTTATCACGAGAAAAGAATTACACACTGATCAAACGTGATTTTTTGGGGACATGAGTATTCCTTAAGCTGTTAAATGTCAAGGACAAATTACGAATGGTCTAAAAGTATAACAAGGTGTTATGAATAACATGACAATAGTATTCCTAAAGCCCTTTATACAAAAGAAACCCCAGCTAATCACGTTAAAATGTTAAAGTACATCAAAGTACATCAAAAACCCTAGCTAATCATGTCACCCCTAATATTACCTCACTTTCATACGTCTTCCTAGAAGTATCATTGAATTACCTTATTAATATGTAAACTGGAACCAAAGAAAGGTAATCTCACATTACCTTTCTCACATTAACAATGTAATATAAGATTACCTAAACCAATGGACTCTATTAGTATTAGGGTTTAGTGTTTGAATAACATGTATTTAAACTCTTCTTTTCGTGACCTCTTAAGGTTAAGCCAATGTCTCGAATAAGCAAGCGCAGCCGATATCTAGTATCCATTTTGTTCTGTCCTACTTGTGCAATAAGATAACATTCTACCTGTTTTCAGTTCAATTTTGTAATGATTAGGGAAAACTATCAAATAGGTCCCCGTAGTATAGCAAAAAAGTCAATTAAGTCCTCGAACTATTAAAACACCCAATTAACCCCTCGTACTATACAAAAACATTCAATTCTTCTTTTTAGTTGGTTCCCTTCCAGATTCACCGGTAGTCGCTGACGTGTATGCCCATGTGGCTTTTTTTACTCCAGATTTTGACGGATAATAAAAACCACGTAGCCTATTCAAACTTAGATATATACACCTTGGACTGTTCATCTTCCCCAACAAATTTCACAGGGAAAACTATCAAATAAGCCCCTGTACTATACCGAAAAGGTCGATTAGGCCCTCGTACTTTACAAACACTCAATTAAGTCCTCGAACTATTAAAAAACGTTCAATTAAGCCCTTTTGGTGGGTAAGTAACCGATTTCCCGGTTAAACGACGACGATGGCGACGATGTGCTCGAACCCCAGCAACGGCGGCTTCCGGGAAACAGGTTACATTTAACCGGGAAACCGGTTACTTACCGACCGAAAGGGCTTAATTGAACGTTTTTTAATAGTTCGAGAACTTAATTGAATGTTTGTAAAGTACGAGGGCCTAATCGACTTTTTCGGTATAGTACGAGGGCTTATTTGATAGTTTTCCCAATTTCACACACAACTCTCTCCCAGATTCGGAGAGCCATGTCTCCAAAATTAAGCATAACACTGCACTATTTACATTTCTTCCATCAAAACTCTAAATCCATGAAAGCATTGGACTGTTTACAAACTTCGGAGTCCCCTTAGGGTTCTGAGCCTCACTGAACAACGCTAAATAAAATAGGGATGTCTGATAGAAGAAGGGGCACATTACAACCGGGAGGGAGAAGCTCGAACTTGAACAGTGGATACGACGATGAAGTTTGCAGCTCTGAGCGAAAGTGGAGCAGAATCAGGCGGTGAAGAAGAAAGTGAAAGAAGGAGGAAGTGAACGGTGGGAGAGAAAGATGAGAAAGGTGGGTACAGAGCGGAACACCGGTGAAGTTGGTGGCGAGGCGGCAATAAGCTATCATATAAGAAAGAAAGAAAATAAGTTAAAGAAAAAAGAACGAGTAAAGAGTAAAGATCTCTAGGGAATAAACTAAAAAAATTAAAAAAAAAAACTTTAAAAAAATCACATAAGCAACTTTTAACCGGAAGGCTTATTTTTTACCGGCTAAAAGGCTTAATTGGGCATTTTTTGTGAGTTTGAGGGTTCAATTGATCGATTCTAAAGTACGAGGATCTAATTGACTTTTTGACATAGTGGGAGGGCTTATTTGACAATTTTCCCTAATGATTAATTTGGTATAACCGTATAAGCGAAATTTTTAAGAACTACATCAAAAGTGTTGCTAAACTAGAGGTGATTCACTATTCAGTATCAAACAAATACTAAGTATGAAACAAAATAAGCAAAGAAAGAAAGTGTTATAAATAATGTTAATATTTGAAGTATGAATGACCTGCAGGCAGGAATATTGTACGTACAACATTCTAAAATGGTGGGAAGGGACATGGTGGCTGGCTTCCTGTATGAAGTAAGAGAAAGTACCATCTATCTTGAATTTCATAATGGAGCCGATCAATCTCTTTCAAGGTGTCCAATCTTCTTTAGTTTCAAGTACAATATTGATGCCAGCAGTTGCAACTATCTGCTCTATTGTTATAAAGTTGTGGGCTGGTTAATGGGAAAAGAAGCCAGTAGAATCCCAATAGCCCAGCTAGAAATGCCAACGTTATTGTCCCTACAACTCCAAGACAATTTGAAATTGAACATTAGCGTGTTGTGCATATTTCATTGAAGAAAAATAGTTTTTTGTACTTCAAGCGCTAAAGTGAGGTTCACTGAATATAACTGGTTAGGCTTACTGCCTTACTGGAAATCTTTTTCAAAAAAACTTGTGGAGTGAAGTTGACTCTAGGAAATTCAAAACTTTTAGAATCCTAAACGAGGAATTGCAGAATCTGAAGTTACGGAAAGAAAGAAATTCGAAACTGGCAAAGCTTATTGCTTCTTGAGTAGTCCACAATTTTTTAGAAGGTTTCAGAAGTCCAAACCAGTAGAGTATGGAACTTCAGAAATAATTGAAGTCGTTTTTCACAAGTTCGCAATTTTAAAGCAAATTAATTAGCAGCTTCTTAATAAAGGTTTCATTCATCCAAAAAGAAACACCTTTGACGCGCAGAAATGCCCAATATAAAGACTAAATATTGTAACCATCAAGAACAGGAAAAGAAACTCTAGTATTTAAAGCACACATGATCAATCATGTTTATTGTCTTCGAATGTTGCATGTTTACCTAAGCGTAGTAGCGAGTGCCCAATATGCATAAAAGTGCATTATGCATGTGTATATCACTTTAAGTGGCAGATCCTTTACATTGAAAAATTCAACCCAATAAGTTCTGACGTACCTGATTGAGGAGAATTTATGGTGGGCAAACCCATATAATTACAAAAGATGTGAGCAACAAGAGGTGCGACCACATGCCCTGATATAGAAAAAGGTGCGAACAAGCAACTTTATACTTTTGCCTTGAAAAGAAACCAAAAGATGAGGGGGGGGGGGGGGGGGGGGGCTAAAAGAACTGTCAAGTTGAAAATATGATATGGCTTTATGAGCAGTTAGTATACAAGCTGGGGAGGTGATGTTTACAAAATGTGATTATTATTAAGTGTCTATGCTCTTTAATGTTTCCATCGTTTGCAATGGAGCCTAAGACTCACTACTTTTGGCTTGAGAATATGATGGAATAAAGCAAAATGGTTCACTAAACTGTCTGCGCTTCTATGTTATGAAGCAACAGTCGGTTCATGCAATTTTCGATGCGATTTTCACTATTGGTCATCCGGAAACGGTCTCTTTGTGCTTTAGTGCAGGGGTAAGACTGCGTACATCTGACCCCCCTTACCCTACCGTAGGTGGGAGCCTTAGCGGCACTGGGGTAATGATGATGATGTATATGCTCTTTAACAAAATACTCCATATAAATTTTTAACTTGACTCTAAATTAGAAGTATATTAGGCTGATAGCAAAATGCCAAGGAGGATATTAGGTAGAGCATTGTTCCTAAAAATACAAAAAGTATGCTAAATCAACAATCACATTTCAAAATTGAAACTAAGGAAGAAGATCACGGAAGTTTATCAGCAGAACAAGCATAAGATAAGTGTAATACGCAATGATGTTTAAGCATATTCCACCTGTACGAACATATAGAAAGGAAGCATATGATCCAAATATGACAGTGTAGCCAAGCTGGAAACCTGCAAAATTGAGCACAAATATAATTATGTCAGTATACCAGGCAAGTAAACTACAAACGGTCATTTATTGTGACACTTCATCACCAAGATTTATGTACTATCCAAGAATGGAAATCTCCGGAATGCCCACCATGAAGTGGAAGAGAGTAAGAGGAGTTTTTCTTTCAACAGTTTCAAGTACTGAGAACACAGAGTGGCTATACCTGCAACCATAAAAGCTTTGAGCAAGCTGCCTCTTTGCTGGGCATATTCCAATAAATGGTTCAAATGAGCTGCAAGGACACCACAGTTTACTTCACTCATGTTATTATCAAATTATACAGGGCAAATGCATGATAGACGTAGAAGAATACAAGGAAAATTAGCAAAACAAAGGAAGACAATCAATTAAAAATGACATGTATGACTACTCACAGTCACTGTATATGTCACTTTTTTGGAAAATTTTAAAAAGTCATATTTTTGTCTTTTGAATTTAATTTAATAATATTCATGGAAAAAGGCCAAAGATTTATGGTCTTGATTCTCGATATCAGGGACTTAAATATCACTCCTATAGTCCTTCAAATCAACTTATTATTTATATTATTTGCATATTTTGAAAGATTATAAATAAAGGCTTCCTTTTAGTATAGAAAGGGTATTGAGTGATTGTGGTATACACTAGGCTGTGGGAAAGTTATGTTACGGGAGAATACCTTCTGGTATTTCGTGTTCTTTTCTATCTTCTTCTTCACATAGTTTCTTCATTTTCTTTCTATTTTATTAAACATTTTCTTAGATTATTTCTCTTGTTGCCTCTTTACTCTCTATCAGTTTAGGATCGAGTGTTGGTCTAAGATACATTGCAGAAGTAGAGCATTGAGTATGAATAAGTGATAGGGTTTAGCCGGGGTCCAGGGAGATGGCATCCTTCAATGGTACGCCAAAGGTTATAAATTAAAGCTCTACTCAACTGTTTTCATTCAATAATGCACTATTAAGTGGTCCGTAAACACTGATTCAATTTTCAGTATATGCATTCCATGAGCTGGATATATACTTATTTCCTCAGTCCTAATAAAAAAAAAACAAGTATAACCCCTGATGCTTGATGTATTCCATGTGCTGAAACTTGTTTCTTACCTAAACTGAAAAATATGGGACAAAGAAACACGACAGTATACATATTGAATCCTCCACAAGAAAGCAAAGGGATCATACAAGCTCTAAAAACAAGCTCTTCTGTGAGTGGTGCCTGTTCAATAAAACAATGTTGATATTATTGAACACTCGGTCTAAACGACAAAAGAACAAATTGCTTTGCTATTATGGAGTAAACAAATCGAAGAGGATAAACTCAAAAACTAAGCTGCAACTATTTGCATTTAATGACTTCGGGCCTACTGCATATCACAAAAAAGAGTGTATTCTCCAAAATCAGAAAGTAAAGGCAATGACATAACACACAAAAAAAAGAACAAACTCAAAATTTAAGTTGCCTCTTTTAACCTTGTCTTGCTCGCAATTGTGAATCATTTTTCTGTGCTTAATTTTTCCTTTTCAGTAAATAATACACTAGCGCTACAGATATGTTTAGAATCTTGAAAATCCGTAATCCTGCAAAAATACTCTTGAGGTTTTCCTAACTTTAGAAATATCATCATGCTTCAAGTCGTTAGCTTTTTATTCAATGCAACAGAATATTCTACTGTTATTTTAGAGGAAAGTGAGAAAAGGTCATAGAACTATAATTTGCAAGAGAAGTACATAAACATTTCTTGAAATTATTTTATCGATAGCAAGCAAACATATAAGGTACATTCAATGAAATTGCGAACTACAAATCTTCATGATCAATGAGAATGTAGTCGAAGAGTTTCGGTAAATGGATCTGAATTATAAAATGCAAAGCACACAAGTATGCTCAGTATCAGGAATGAATGATATGTTTCCTTTGAGGGAAATATAAATAGGTTCTAGTACTTTTTCCCTCAAGTTTAGAGTTTGATAGTGGTGAAAGGATAAATAAATCAACCTATCCAACTCACGTTGTCAGTACCACAACTTAGTTGAGTTCATTTTTTCATTGAACGCCACATTTATTATATACGAAATTGTTATAGCAGATTCAGTTTTTGGTAAACCAATAACTTCACATACTGCAAGTTCGAATGTCTCACATACTCCATACTAAAGTCATATACATTGACTATTCCATTACAATAGAAAACTATAAGTGTACTCATTAGGTCTTAAGTTCATGGGTGGAAAGGAACTAGCTGCTAAGTGCTAAGTATTAGGAAACACTGCTTACAATTTTGATCAATTTGTAACATGTTTATGGTATAACATAGAAAACAATTAGATTCGGCCAGGAAATTTACGATATCAATAAATTGGTGAAAGTACTGACCACAAAATAATTACGCCAAGCTGAGACATTAGATGCTATTGAAAAAACTGAGTTTATGAGCATTTTCGGAATCGTTTTAATGTACACTGACAAAACCCTTCTACCATCACTCTGATTATCATTGCAGGAACGCAATAGCAGCAAACCCTTCGTGAGAGATCCAACATACATAAGAGCGGTTAAAGATAGAGGATAGGCAACAGCTTGCCACTGTTTCACAAACAAGCAATACATTTATTAGTACTTGCACTTTTACAATCTTTGTATCAGATGGGCTTACTATTGATTATAGCAAACCAAACAATGTATCACACAATGAAAGCGATTTCTAGAAGTCAGAGTCGATACTCACTATGTGGTCTGCTCTGATACCAAAAGCCTGCAGCAAGTTTGATGCATTCCACCTTATCTAGAAACATATTAAGAACCTTAAAATTCAGCCCATTAAACAAATCAGAAGGTATATAACAACAATGTTTCACCCAGTTCCACTGACATTTTGATGTGAGGCATTAGAGGTTGAATATTCGAAATTAAATACTAATCCTGAATGAATATTGTTCTCTTCTTTTTTGGACAATCCATTCAACAACTCTTCATATGGCGACCCTTTAACTTCAATGTAAAGATTATAGTCGATCCTTCTACAGATCTTTATGTGTAGCATAAAATGGTCAAGATAGATGTACCTTCGATCCACGAGTTTAGTTTCACTCTTCAAAGATATCCACTATTAAAGAAAAAACGCATTTTGGATTGGAGCTTACAGGGAGGATGATAGAGCAGGCTATGAGGGAGGCGACGGTGAAAACGGCAGCACATATGAACCGGCGAACCATGAACGATTTAAAGGAATTGGCCGGCGGCAAGCGGAGAATCATAGTCGGAGCATATAGGACTGCGACGTAAGATATCGCCATGGTAGTACATGCCAGTACGGCTGTCCATTTTGAAACGCCGGTGGTGCTGGAAGCTAGAGCAGCACTGGCTACTTCCTCCATCTTCATCGGAGCAAGAAGCGCAGACATTCTGGATTATTCACAGTGTTTTGAGTCGGTTTGTCCGTAGACTTCGTGTTGACTTTCCCGCAAGGAATTATTTTGGCAAAGATGAGGTACACACTCTTATACACACTTTTGTACACACCTATGTCTGTGAAAGCTTTTTTTTGTCTGTGAACATCGACTCACAGACAATGTTTCGCACAAACAAGATATTGTCTGTGAACCGGATTCACAAACAAAAAAAAGCTTCACAAACATGGTGTGTATAAGGTGTGTACAAGGGTGTGTACATCAAGAATGGTTGTTATTTTGGCTCTTCGTCTTGAATTAGAATGGACGGAAGCGCATTTAAGGGATTTAAATAGGAGTTAGTAGTTAGTACATACTCCTTTAGAATTTTTCAAATTTCAAAATAGGACTATCTTTTTTTTATTCCTTGAATATGAGTAAATTTCTGCCAAGTTTATTATTACTAGACTTTAAAATATGACATTTTTTTTCAAACTTGATAAATTACTCATGTTCAGGGAATAAAAAACATGATACTCCTATTTTGGAATTTCAAAACGTTTTTACTCCTAATTAGAGCAATTTTTATACATAATAATGACGTAGAGTCTCACGCTTTGTAGGTGATCTCTACGCTAGAGAGACGTTTCTTGATTCAGTGTTATTGAAGATATCAGAAAACTCGGGCACTAAAAAAACTCCGAGTATATCCAGGTGGATTCTGTCAAGTTCAAAGTAGAAGTGAAATAAGAAATGTAAACATTGTGAAGTTGAGGTTTATGCAGATTAGAGGGAATTAAACAAAATCACAAATTATTAGTTGTTTTAATAAAAAAGTGACAAAGTTTTTTGAAACAACAAAAAGGGAAAGTTGGAAAAATCCGATGGGACGAAAGGAGCAATTGTTTTTAGGGTATTTTTGCAAAAAATTAAAAAACAAATTAACTTTTGGTTTAAAAAAGTCGAAATGAGTGTCCTGAGGTGACAATTTCTACTTAACTTAAACGTGTAAAAGCTAAAAGTTAGAATCTCCTTTTTACTTTTTATACTACACTATCAGCTTTTAATTTTGGAAAATTGCTTTAAATAGGAGTGTTGGGTTAATGGCCCAATGGGGGTTGTCCCATAAACACTTAAGGCCCACCCTACGGACGTCCACATAAGGCCCAAGACTACGGGTTAGCCTTCCATTATCCTGACGAGGTTCGTCCCCACGTGGCCAAGCCCAGGGGACGTACGTATCCTAGCATAGACAGGTGTCTTGAGCCAGGATCGAGCAGCGGCTGACGCACGTCTCGCATGACTTGGCCCAACAGGAAACACGAGGCAAGCTCATGGGGACGAACGTCCCCAAAAGACCCAAGACAACGGGATACCCTTCCGATTATCCAGGGGACACACGTATCCTAGCGTATGCATGTACCTTGGCCCAGGAGCAGCGCGAGACGCACGTCTCACGGGACTTTGAGCCCAGAAGGAAACCAGAGACAAGATCATGGGGACGAACGTTCCCACCCATTGGCGGACAGCCAAGATCCTGACGGGATTCTGCATTTAATACAGAAGATTTGGTGGTTGCGCATTTAATGCAGAAGATTTGGTGGTTAGAACAAGTCATCCACAGTTGGGTTCAACGCATCTAACTATCCCTTGACGGTATAAATAATAGCATTTATTTTATTGTAAGGGGGACAACTTAGCACTCTAGTATTATAGCATTCTTATTATCTCGTAGCATAGCATCTGTACGAACGGCCTCACGCTTTGTAAATACGAAAGGCCTCACGCTTTGTAAATACGAAAGGCCTCACGCTTTGTAAATACGAACAACCTCACGCCTTTAAGCCCTTAGGTTTTGTGTTGGGCCTATAGGTTGAAGGGAATAAACCTCAACAAGGAGTAAATGAGGTTTGTAATTCCAAAATAGGATTACTATGTTTTTCTTCTCGAAATATGAGTTTTTATTGACATGTATGAAAAATACTGTCATAAATAAAAAATAATGTCATTAATTATAATAAATACGGTCATGTTAAATGCACTGTACTGCAACTATTTGACACTCATGCCTACATGATGGCAGTAAATACGGTCATGTTAGTCCTATTTCGGGAATAAAAACATAGTGGTCCTATTTTGAAATTCTAAAATCCATTTACTCATGTTTTGGGAAGTCTTCCTTTAATTTTCAAAACAAATTTTTACTATTAAGCACATTTTCCATAAAAAGTTATTTTTAAAGCAAAAGTTATTGCAAACACTCCTTTAATAGCATTAGCACATGTCATATTTAATGATATGTGAATCGTATTGCTCGCAATTTTATGAGAGAAACGATTTGTATGTGTGGTTGTGGTTTTTGGTAGAATAGTCACCCTAAGGTATTGGTCGTTGTGTACGAGTAATTGAACAAAATTTATTGTTGAATGACAAATAATTACGGAATATGTTACTAGAAACTAGCTAGTTACAAAATATGTCACTTTTTGGAAAATTTTAAAGTAAGGTGTTGTTCTGTTCATCTTATTCTTATTACTTATTGCTTATTCTTATTTTATTCAGATCAGATCAGATCAGAAAGATTCAGATCAGATCAGATCAAAAAGAATCAGATCAGATCAGATCAGGAAAATTCAGATCAAATCAGATCTTAAAAAATTCAGATCAGAAACATTCAGATCAGTCGAAGAGAACATCTTCTAAATCATATTTTTGTTATTTGAATTTAATTTAGCACGAGTAATATTCATGAAAAATGGCCACATAAAAACACCGTAGAGAGAAAACATAAGATGTTGGGAAAACTATCAAATAAGCCCTCGTACTATACCGAAAAAGTCGATTAGGCCCTCGTACTTTACAAACACTCAATTAAGTCATCGAACTATTAAAAAACGTTCAATTAAGCCCTTTTGGTGGGTAAGTAACCGATTTCACGGTTAAACGACGACGATGGCGACGATGTGCTCGAACCCCAGCAACGGCGGCTTCCGGGAAACAGGTTACATTTAACCGGGAAACCGGTTATTTACCGACCGAAAGGGCTTAATTGAACGTTTTTTAATAGTTCGAGAACTTAATTGAGTGTTTGTAAAGTACGAGGGCCTAATCGACTTTTTCGGTATAGTACGAGGGCTTATTTGATAGTTTTCCCTAAGATGTTTGATCAAACTAAACTTTAATCGACTTATCTCAAATTAATGGTAATTTGCACAAAAAATTGTTCAAATCAGAGTTACAATATTAAACGTTGTTACAAGTTGATACATACTAACATTACTATTTAACTTAAAAACATGTTAATATTGAATATTAACTTAAAAATTCTCCAATACTAATATTAGAGTATTTCATAGTACATGTTAAATTTTGAAATGGCAATTTGCGCAATATTAACTTAAATTGTTCAAATTACAAGTTGATACATACTAAAGTACTAATATTAGAGAATTTCTTAGTGCATGCAGTTTTAGTTATATTTAATTTATTTATCGTTGTTGTTGCTTTGCATATTATTGCTGAACGTTGCGAACATCATCATAGACTCATGGTAGTATGTATATAGTTAATGTGATTATTATGTTTTTCTTTCTCAAATATCCGAGCAATTTTTTATTAGTGAGAAATGGAATTAGTTCTTACCTCTTGGCGTTAATTAGGGTTTATCAACTAATTGATGTTTAGAATTAATTAGCTTTTCTATGACTTATCAATTCCACTCACAGACTTGTGTTTTAGTGGTGTTGTCCGATTGAGTCAGCAGCGAAGGTCTTGTTGAGTTCTTGTGGGGGTGGAAGTTTGACGGTGGTCAGTCAGGGGCCCGGATAGCTAAGGCTACTCAACCTTATAGTAATTATAATTGTAGTTTGGGAATTCCTCTTATAGTAATGATAAAATTATTGCAAATTATGTGGTATTTAAAATTAAGTTGTTTTCTGATTTTTTCACTTTGAGAGTTTAGGTCCACTATGAGTGGAGAACATTATACCGATAAGAGGTATGATCATCTACATTTATTCTTTTCTTTGCAATATTTGCCTAAGAGAAAATTTAAAGATCTCTTTTCCACTATTTTATTCTTTTCATGGGCTAAAATTTTATAGAACAAGGGTGACGAGAAGAAAAAAGTGCACTTTTCTGTTTTTGTTGTCTTTAATAATATAAGAAATGATAATATCAGAAGAAAATACTGCACTTTTTTGTTCTCTTCTGTAAAAATCGTCTTTTTTTCGTTTATATAATAAAATGCACTTCTCTAATATTTGAAATTGGAGTTTTTTCCTTTATTAATTACTTCTACTTTGGGGCTGTATGATGCACTTTTTTTAATCCTTCTTTGGTTAGGATCTTAGAACACAGTAATGGCAAGAAGAAAAAATGTTGTTTTCTCTTTATTTCTTTTCTTATGGGCTAAGGTTTCAATACAATGATGACAATAAGAGAAAAGTTAAATGCATTTTTTTGTTGAAATCTTTTGTTGTCTTACTGGATAAGATTTTTAACAAAAATGGAATGGTAGAAATGTTAATTTATGTTTTTTATCTTTTTTCTCAAATTGGGTTATAATTAAACATAGCAATGGCAGTAAAATTAAAATAATGCATAATGCAACTTTCCCCTGTGCATTCAGATTTACTAACACATGCACTTCACTTCAGCTTTATTTGGCATAATGAGTATGAGTTTTTTTATTTGCATTTAGATTTATTGGGACATACTAGGCATAATGCAACTTTCTCCTGTGCATTCTACCATTTTAATTAGTTAAGATAGGATATTTTAATTTTCTAGAGCAGAATGATACTACACATTACATACTTTGGTAATTAGCTTTGGCTCTTGGTTCTCTGGAATTTTAGTAGAGCCGGTTATTAAGAAAAGTATTAATGAGGAAACCACTTCTGCATTTTTCTTCTTAAACCATTATTGTGCAGCGGTTTAAAGTCTTATTCCAAGTAAAAATATGCAGTTTTTCTTTTCTTGCACTTTTTTCTATTCTTGCAATTGCTTTGTTCTGAAATCTAAATCAGCTTCTGTAAGGTGTTAATGACATGCATACCACTTCTCTTGATTAAGTGGT